TTTCAAAACACACAACTTTGTACTCCTATATTATCCCCTTATGATAGCAATAGTTGATCTAACACAAATTAAACAATATCCTCAAATAAAATAAACAGAGATATTTCCATTGCTTCCAGTAAGATGCATTAGGCGTACAAGAACTTTACAAAACCATGCAAATCATAACAAACATAATATGCTATAAATAGTCGCGAATATTGTAATATGCATCGCAAACTTCAACATAATGCAAATTATCAAACACTCTACGAGTGCTGAGTTGGTCGGCCTATCCATTCTAGTGCATTTTACGACGGGATAAGTTTTATAACCATAATGCTATGAGCATAGGAACTAGGAAGATTATGATATATAAACTATAATCTATATTAATAATTGATCAGGTTACACAACAAAGCGGCATGAAATCAATAATTGTGAACGAACTTGTCACATGGAACACTCCTAAATCATTATATTTTTAGGTATATTGCTATATTTGTTATGTTTTATCCATGTTACACGTTTCTATTACCACCACAATCTTAGTTTTCATGTTCAGCAAGGATATCGTGATTAATTCCCTCGCTATTGAAGTCTAACATCAACCTCGCAAGCCAGGCTCTTTTACCTACGCTCCACGGCCCACGCTGTGGCAAAGACCCTGGTCAAGGCTGGTCATGTGACATCGCAAAATCTTCCAAAATATGGGAGATTTTTAATGGACGACTTGCGCTTTTAACTAATTTCTTACCTCGGCGATAAATAGGACATTTTTTGAAAGAGCTTACTAAAATAAGTAAAACTGCCAAGTTTGACTGCGAATTGTTTTAAAATACGGAAAATATACCCATGCGAAGTTGTCGATTTTTGTATACTTTTGTATTACGACCGGAAGTTTGTAACTAAATTAGTTACACATTTCCGCACGTAATACAAAAGTATACAAAATTTGCCAACTTCGCATGGCTATATTTTCCGTATTTTGCAAAATTTCGCGGCCAAACTTGGCAGTTTTACTAATTTAAGTAAGATCTTTCTAGCTGGGTAATTTATTTCCCTCTAGTTACTTCGATCAAAAGTTAGTCTAAAGCGCAAGTCGTCCATTAGCGCTTAGTTCATATCCATGGGAGGAGTGGCAAAGTCGATACACCATTTCTGCTATTTTTAGCACTTGTCACAATCCAAATGCCTTTGTACTAACGCTACTACAAATAGCGGTTCACACAATAAACTAAATAAATATAGCTAGTGTGGCGCAGCAAAAAAACTCAAAAGAACAATAAACTGAATTAGGTTCAAATTATATGTGTAGACTGTATCATCGTCGATAGAATCGGTTTTAGTATCGTCACAAGTTCTGTTGACATTCAATACAGACACTCGAAGGCCTGTGCTATTTTCTAAATTTGGGCGTTGATGAGCGAATTTATTAGAGGTCAAAAACAATAACCACACAGGTTATTTCGCTTTGCGGTACAACAGCGCTCAATATTCATTATTCAGTCCTTAGAAAGACGCTGTTTTAACTGATGTGATTTATGCGCTACTTGTGTCCCATCCATCCCCACACGGGAGAAGCGTAACAAAAGAATCACGTGACCAGCCTTGACCAGAATCTTTGCCGCATCGTGGGCCGTGGAGCGTAGGTAAAAGAGCCCGGCTTGCGAGGTTGGTCTAACATCAACAAGTTGCTGTTGAAGATTATTAAATACGAAAAAGGAACTGTGATACAGTTTCATATATATAGATCAGTTTTGGATCATGTGACTTTTGTCAAACACGTTGTTATTTCGTTTCATCTGGTTTTGTCAGTTTATAATATATTATCTCATGAATATGTAGTGTGTTTCTTGCTTTAAAGCCGAACTATGTAGTATTTAACAGTTGCTCGCATAAAAATCGCAGCTCCACGATAAAGTTTTTTAAGAGCCAGCTATCTTGTAAAGTCCTGCTTCGAATGTCCGCGTATTACAACAATTTTTTAACAATAAAGTTGTAATCCTTCTTATAACAGAATATTGGAGTACAGAGCCTGGCTTCTTTTAATAATAAATTTTGGAATTTTATCATTCTGAAGACAGAGCGATCGAACCCCGGCCACCCCACAAATCAGTCGAGATAAGTCCAAATGGCTTATCGATCAATCAAATGAGTCGGCTGACCCACCCGATTCTGCGATTTTTTTGCGTTTTACCGCTGTTCTGGATAAAAGAATATTGTTTTTCTGAAACTGAACTATGAGTAAACTGGACTATGATTATAATTTATTTATATTTCAAGATAAATTTGAATATTTAATTGTCATTTTTACTGCCCAAAATACGTAAGTCGCGCGACTGACTGCACTTAGGTACGCCCCTGGTCGAGGTAAACAGTCAGTGAGACTCGAGGGAAAACAAAACTCACTATTTCCCGAGGTGTAGCGAACATTAAGTGTTTTGTTATGTAGGAACAAAAACATACATGTTACACGAAAAAACTTTGTTATGACAATATGCGGCAACACTTTTTCACTTGTTTCCCCGGCGGGAAACATTGCATTTATTTAAAGTCATGTGACTACGAATGAACCAATCACATTTAAAATACACAGCAACTATATGTACATCGCGATTTCATGATATATGAACTTTGAATGAAAAAAACCGCAATGCGAAATGTTCGAACTGAACATTAATAGTATTTCCATCATCAAACATATCCAGACAAATTCAATAAAAATGTAACCATGATCAAACGATATTGACTTTCAAAAAACGTCGTCACAACGTTGCGATATAACATTGATACGACGAAAATGTCACCCTAAACGAACGTTAATCTCAACTTTCAACCAGCGTTTCCACAACGTTGCCACAACGTGGCAATGTAACGCGTTGATGCAACGAACAATATCACCAGGGGCCGGTTGTATCAAGCCCGTTTAGCTTAAACGCTGGATAAGTTCAAAATAGAAAGCAAGTCTGCCGTTTTACTCAACAGACAAACTAAATGTTTTTTACTTTAATACAAAGATACTGTTTACAACTACATATTCAGTGCATAAAATTCAAGTTCACTCATTCAAGAGAGATGTAAGAGTGTTATTTACTTTTGACTTATCCACCGTTTAAGCTAAACGGGCTTGATACAATCGCGCAGCCCCTGTAGGTCAAACCGGTTAAACACAACGTGAATCAAACCAACGTTACTGCACGTCAGAATAATTATAACGTTCAGCCGAGTGAAACGTGATTGCCAGGTTGAATCCAACGTTCAACGAACGTTGATACAACGTGGTCTAAAATGAATTAGGACAAACAACGTTGTGAGAACGTTGTATTAAGGTTTAGTCACGATTTAACCAAAATACAACTTTTGGCCAACGTTGGGATAACGTTGTGTGCTAGCTGGGATTGTAAACAAAATTAGTCATCACTAAGTAACGTCGGCAAAAGTGTCTATAACTTTCATGAAATATGACTTGTTTCCGTGGCAACGGCAACACATATTCCTTGCTGGAATTGTGACTGAAGAATGTCATTTGAAATAGTTATTACTATGCAGAAATAAATTTAGTGTGTACTGTGTATGTATTATAATTTCATATCGTATAAAATACAAAATGCCGTACACAAGCATGGAATCTGGTCTGTTTCATGTTGTAACAACCGACCTTGAAACAATTAAGGAATACCCTGCGTTTTGCTACGAATAAGGTTGAAGTGGAAAAATGACATACATAGACATAGTAATGCTCCGGCTCTCTCATAGTATGTTAAAATGTTTGAAAGGAAAAACAACAACAAGAAATTCACTTTACTGACCCTGACGAAGAACGGGATATTGTTGAGAAGTAATAAGGCAACTCAAATGTAATAATATTGAAGATTGAAACCATCTCGGAATTCCATTGAGGATCTTCATCTTCGTTCGAATACCAGCTTACTATTTGTAAAAAATAACGTAAAAACGTTGCTGACATTAACTGCGTTCCCTTGAAAATGATTACTTTAACGAATTTCGCCAAAAGCGGAACAAGCGCATGCAGCTTGTCAGTCTTTGCAAAATTTATTGTTATGAGAAACGTTGAGAAAAACGTCCGAAATTACAACAAAACAACACTCGTTTCCGTGGCAACTGTGAAACAGACATCTTGTGGGAAAGTGAAGTAAGTTCGTTCGTGCAATTAGTGCATGCACACAAATATCCCGCACCTTTTGTTCAGAAATATTATGAATACATTTGCACTCAAAACCGGCATTAACTTATCTTGCAAAATTTATAAAGATCCCGAGATATTATCGAATCCTTATCAACCCTGAGCAGGCGTGCATTCATGAATTTGTTACCCAACGCGATGAAGTTCATTTTTATCGCCTTTATTTTCTTTCATTATATAATAATTATGCAGTGTTTTATTGACGAATCCGCCATTTTGAAAAGCGATAATAACACATGCTCGATTATTCATGATGATAACACATTTGCGATTACTGTGTTTGATCCACCGATCTGAAATCAGCAAGAGGGATAAAAACCTTTTCAGAAAAACAGTTTTTTATCATGAATATGCACTCACTCGTTCTATACATTCTCAACACTCGAAATAAATTCTATATTTCCAAGCATCCATGCATGTATTATTCTATATTATCTGTTGCTATGATACAATATTATACAAATATTAATTAATTATTCAATAATATTTTACGAGCATTCGAACTAGGTGTCGTCGCCAGCATCGATAAGTGGGTCATTTCTTTTGCACTGAGCTAAATAATAAACTGAAAACTGAACCGCATGCTCACTGCTTACCCGCATGCCTTTCTGCTCATTTTGCACGCCCCATGCACGCACATAAAAGACAAGATAAACTTAGATTATTTCAAATGTATACCATGCATTGACTAGTCACCTTAGTCAGTGGTAGCGACTAAATAAAAGCTTTACTGAATATAACTTTAAACCTGCAGATGACGCCTAAACATCTGCTTGGGATTATAATTATAGAGTTTGCATTATATTAATATATATTAGGAACAACCATAAAATTCGACTCTCATCGAGATATGATCATTCCAAGCTGTTGGACGAAGTCGAATGAAGCGAGCAGAAATAGGAGGAATAAGCAATTGATGGACAATAGAACTGCTGTCGTTGTTGCCTTGAAATTTCTAAAAAATACATGAGACATGGCATTATGGTTTTTCCTTCTTTTTTTAAAACTTTAACATAGCACTCTTACTAATATACGTAGTCATTTTTGTAACATGATTGTTGTGAAGAAGAAGTTTGTATGGAAAATTTTTACTTCAATATAAAAATATAAGAGGGATGTCACCATTATTGATAATTTTTCCTGGGTGGAAAATTATTTCCTGTTTCAGATTTGATAAAAAACAAAGAAAATTCTTCGGGTGATGATGCGGAAAGACGAAATCTTATGATCATCACATCATCACTTTTAAGTAAAAAATCCAAAATACAGTAGTCTCCTCTCCAGTAATCTCCTAAATTTTTAAATTTAGATTAAAATGTCATTGAAGAGACTACTGGATTTGTCAGCAACTCAGGGCATGTTCAATTGTTAAACTTAAGCCCTGGTCAAACGAGAATGATAGTTGATGAGAGTTGATGAGAGTTGCAAGTCTCGCTTGCGTTTGACCGCGAACTCTCATACACTCTCGTGCACTCTCATCAACTCTCATCGACTTTGAACTGGTTCAAATTTTGATGAGAGTTGATGAGAGTTGCTGAGAGTTTGGGCGCGTTTGATCGGTCATGAGAGTTGATGAGAGTTGCAAAAGTGCCAGCGGTTTGCATTTCGTAGCAGACTAGACTCTGAATAGTGACAGAACAATAGTGCAAAATGTTTGGAAAACTCTCGTGTGAACTCTTGCTTCTCAACTCTCATCAACTATCATTCCCGTTTGAACAGGGCTTTATTGTAAAATCGTTTCATAAACTTTACAGAAAGTAAAATGAGCAAAACAGTCCAGAAAATTATCAGCAACCTTTATCTAACAAAACACAGATATAGTTCACAATTTAACTGTGAAATTGAAGTGATTTATAATATACATAGTTACGAGTTGTTTTAAACAGGTAGTTTGTGTCTTTTTTTATTTCGTATTTTTTGTAAGGTTGCAGTTTAATTGCATATACCTTCTCGGTCTGTTCTGTTTTATAAACCTGGAAAAAATCCCCGTCTTTGCTGAAAGAAACGCTGTAACTCATAACAAACTGAGTTTTCTTATTGTCAACGCGTCCTTGGGTGCTTATTGCAGTGATTTGGGTTAGCCGTCGAAAATCAACCTGAAGCCACTGATGAAGATCTTTGTCCCGCGATGACCATGCCCCTGTTCTTCCATCTCGCGGTGTGAAATTCAATCTTGCATTAGCCGCCCGATTTTTCGTACTCCATTCGCTGGAAGCCGTGATTTGGTCATCACAGATGTAACCATTTTCTATTCCAAGAGCATTTTTGCACCCTGCATTAGGGAAATCGTAGCATGTGTCAGTAATCGCTTTTTCGTGATTGCGAAAATTTCATGTGAAATTGTATTTGTAAAAAGTTAGTACTTAATATCGAAAATCACGAAAAAGCTATAGATACAATGGTCAATAATAATCAGATAACGTTGCTTCATGCAAATATAACAACTGTTTAACAAGAGAGAACTCTTCTGGAAAGGGGTTGATGCATTGCTGGTGCACTGATTTGCGACGGGGAATATTTATGTACACGGCTTTTTAAACCAATGAACGAGATCAGAATGATAAATTATATAAAATTCTACCAAATTTATATACGTCTGCTAATTGTGTCTCCGAACTATAAGAAAGTATAAACTTCCTCTAATCAAACCTTTTGTAATTTTATTCCTGCATGCTGTAATGTACACGTATGTAGAATAATATTATTCATTTAGCTAGTTATAATAGTATTTTGTAAAATCAGCTATAACGCAGTCATACTGACTAGTGACTGCAATATTTAATTTCTTAAACTATCTATATATCCTTCCATCTATCTAAAAAATGGTTATTTTAGCGTGTAACTTTTCTTGTGTATTGCAAATTAATTAGTGCACCAATCCACCCTTTCTCTAGGTAATTACCGTTATCATGACGGAATGATTCTCCATTATGGCATATAATTACTTCTTCCCTGCAGCAAACCTTTAATTAGAATATAACTTTAAGTTGATCATTCCATCTGCATCTCATTCTTCATGCAGGGTAAGACAGAAAGATCTACCGTGTTTTCAGGAAAAAAAATTTTGCGCGCAGCGACCGTTTTCTAATTATTTGTTCCGAGAGAAAAGGAAATTGCCACTTTAGGCACTTGCTATGCTAAATTTCAATTTGTAATTCGTGTTCGTGGTGTGGCAACAGCCCTCTCGAGTGTAATGACACTCAAACCTCAGCTTACAATGATTGCCGTTGAAGTACTTGACGAAAATACATTCGTATACTAACTGTTGAAATTCAGAAAGCTACAAACTCGAAATCTGTGGTGGAATAATCGTGAATTTTGACTAATTTCTCACATATTTTGCGAAAAATACCCTCTTTGGCTTACGAATCATAATACACAGCCACTTTGCCATTAGAAAATAGTGAGAAAAAATCGCTTGTTTGATAATTTGCCTTTTATCCATACAATGGTCTTTGACTTATACTTTCAAATGCATTCATTTGATAAATGAAATATGAAATCTGTGTGCTGCATATTATTTTGTGCTAATGAAAATAGCCGTTTATGTAGTCGTTTCGACTACATAAAAGGCTGATTTTGCGTTTCGCACAAAAGAAGAATCAATTAGGCTATAAACCTAATTTATTTCCCTGCTGTACATTTGTTTTTCCTTTATGCGCACGGGCTTCACTTTATAGGCTTGTCCAAGCTGTTGGAGTTATTATAGATTACATCGCAAAAATTTAAAATATATTTGTATGTCGATATTTTTTCACGCCTTTCTTGGAGTTTCTTCCTATATGCGTTCAAACAGGGCGGTTTGGAACTCTCTAGCGCTTAGCGCTTATGGGACAGAGATAGGATGAGCGGTAAATAAATGCTATTACATTATTATTATTATATAGGATCGTTTCAACCAATGAAATGTTATTCTAAAAAATATACCAGAATTTTTAATAACATACCGCATCATCATCATGCATCAATATCCAATCTCCTTGGTTTGAGTTGGCTCGGTTAATTGTGACGTTTGTCAGTTGACAATTTTCAACATTTTTCGTTGTTCTGTAGTTAAAACCGACACATTTTTCTTCGTCTTGGCAGTGAGTGTGACATCCCAACATGACGTCTGAAGATGTTACGTTGTGTCTTGATATTATCTCATCATTGGGTAATGATGAACCTCCTGAAATTGTTAGCAAAGTTTGCTGAGTAAGAATTATTTTTTAAATTGAGCTTTACATTATCAGCTGTATGATATACCTTTCAAAAAGATATCTCAAGAATATTTTCTGTGCAACCATAATATAAATATTAATACCGCAACACGTAGCTGAAACTCACCTTTCACAATGATGTTGTAGTTCGTTGGGGAACAACTGTTTGCATTAACATCAGTTGTAGTTACAAGAAACAGGAAGGTGAAAATCCACAGAAACGCCCGGAGCATAATTAAGGTCGACCTTTCTTAAAGATAAGTCGTCAGTGTTACGATGAGGAGAATCGGTGAGACGATGAAATAATCCGTTTATGACATGCAACGAGGATGGCTGCATTTAAACAGGCTATCTTTAAAACAGGGAACGGGGAATAGGGGAATGGAACGGGGAATGGAACGGGGAATGGAATGGCTTCGGGGAATGAGCCGGGGAATGGAATGGCTTCGGGGAATGAGCCGGGGAATGGAATGGCTTCGGGGAATGAGCCGGGGAATGGAATGGCTTCGGGGAATGTGCAGCTTGTGCGTCAGTGATTAAAACCTGTAAACGCTTCCATGTCACGAATCATGAGACAGCTACTCACAGTTTGAATTCCTTGAGGTAAAAGACAAGCGGATTACAAGCTCATAGTATAAATGCGATGTTTGCATTGTCATTGTGATGTACATTGATGTACATTAATATATAGATAGAATTTGCATGGGTAGGTGGTTCAATGTAAATCCTCCAAAATCTGAAGGCAATTAGTATAATACTGTAATAGTATTTTTTGCAGAAATCTTTTTAGTTCTTACTATGCCTTATAAAGCTCAATGTGTGTGATTAAAAGGTGAATAAAGATACTGACACAGTGTCACTTGTTTGTTTTTTATTTCAGGCTATGTGAACAAGACCTCTGGACAGTTTTGTTTAAGCAGGAATAATGGTTGTGGTGGAAATGTGGTGAATGCATTCTTGACAAGTTAATGGGTTTGCTTCCAAGAATACACTGAAACTTGGAGCAACAATGACTTTGAATATAATTAATTAATATATTATTTTATTAATCTTAATTTATATGACTTTTTACCTCACATAATTCAAATAATGTTCAGATAAAGAGGTAAATATTTCACTGTTAATGGTGTAATAAATATTTTATATGTTGATTATATTCATAATGAATTATTTGTCCTGCTCCATACTTTGGCAATTCTGTTTAAAAATCCCACCATAGTAGATCTTTTTTGAAATAGTTACAGTCAAGTTGTTGTCTAGTTTTAGTACAAAATAATACAAGTGCTACAATTAAACAAGGGAAAATAATAAAAATTAATTACATAAGCAAGCACATTTTCTATTTTGAAAAGGTCTATGAATTGAGATGACATGTACTAACAATTTTGTGCATTAATTAAAGACAATTGTATTATTACTGTGGGTTCTTTAATATTGTCCAATACTCCCAGTGACATCCCACTGAATTCCTGCAGGTGTCTCAATCCATCAAACCAGTTTATCTTTTATTTCTATATTTAAGTCAGAATCAATGTATTCAATATCAATATGTTATCTTTTTGGAGACCCCCCAAGAAGAAATCCAGAAATTTTTCAACACCCCCCTTCTCATTTTGTACCATAATCATCCTGCCAAGGAAGGGGGTTGGCTTCAAGAACATGGTTCTCAATTCTGATGAAGAGAAAAAATTGCTTTTCTCCTTTAACAGACTTGTCAAAATAATGTTGTAGAACTTAGATATTATTTTTACATATTGATATTGAATACATTGATTCTGACTTAAATATAGAAATAAAAGATAAACTGGTTTGATGGATTGAGACACCTGCAGGAATTCAGTGGGATGTCACTGGGAGTATTGGACAATATTAAAGAACCCACAGTAATAATACAATTGTCTTTAATTAATGCACAAAATTGTTAGTACATGTCATCTCAATTCATAGACCTTTTCAAAATAGAAAATGTGCTTGCTTATGTAATTAATTTTTATTATTTTCCCTTGTTTAATTGTAGCACTTGTATTATTTTGTACTAAAACTAGACAACAACTTGACTGTAACTATTTCAAAAAAGATCTACTATGGTGGGATTTCTTAAACAGAATTGCCAAAGTATGGAGCAGGACAAATAATTCATTATGAATATAATCAACATATAAAATATTTATTACACCATTAACAGTGAAATATTTACCTCTTTATCTGAACATTATTTGAATTATGTGAGGTAAAAAGTCATATAAATTAAGATTAATAAATAATATATTAATTACATAATTATATTCAAAGTCATTGTTGCTCCAAGTTTCAGTGTATTCTTGGAAGCAAACCCATTAACTTGTCAAGAATGCATTCACCACATTTCCACCACAACCATTATTCCTGCTTAAACAAAACTGTCCAGAGGTCTTGTTCACATAGCCTGAAATAAAAAACAAACAAGTGACACTGTGTCAGTATCTTTATTCACCTTTTAATCACACACATTGAGCTTTATAAGGCATAGTAAGAACTAAAAAGATTTCTGCAAAAAATACTATTACAGTATTATACTAATTGCCTTCAGATTTTGGAGGATTTACATTGAACCACCTACCCATGCAAATTCTATCTATATATTAATGTACATCAATGTACATCACAATGACAATGCAAACATCGCATTTATACTATGAGCTTGTAATCGCTTTGTCTTTTACCTCAAGGAATTCAAACTGTGAGTAGCTGTCTCATGATTCGTGACATGGAAGCGTTTACAGGTTTTAATCACTGACGCACAAGCTGCACATTCCCCGAAGCCATTCCATTCCCCGGCTCATTCCCCGAAGCCATTCCATTCCCCGGCTCATTCCCCGGCTCATTCCCCGAAGCCATTCCATTCCCCGGCTCATTCCCCGAAGCCATTCCATTCCCCGTTCCATTCCCCGTTCCATTCCCCTATTCCCCGTTCCCTGTTTTAAAGATAGCCATTTAAACATGATCAATATAAACGTATACTATACCTAAGTTTTAATTACACATAATACCTTGTGCAGACCACATCATTAACTTTCGGAAAAAAGCTAACCTCTTATTAAAACAAATCTAATATAACAGACTTCCCAATGAATCCCAATGAACTGAAACAATTATTTAGATTCCGACGATTTCTATTATCCCAAAGCTACCGAATTCAATATATAATTTTATCATGGCAACATTGCAAAAAATTCATTCGATAGGCAAAAATTATTTATGTCATAGACATAATAAGTTTGTTCAAAAACTTATGTGCGGTAGTCAGTACAATGCCTATAATTATATGTAGTGTTAACATGATGGACAGTTTATAACGTAAGTTAACAGTAATATCAGCTGATTATAAGAGGCATTCCGTTTTAGTAGAACATGTGTAATGTAAAAATTGTTAAAACATGCTTCGGAAGGTTAGGTAGCAAGTCCAATGGGTTTTCAGGAGGTTTTTTTACCCAAAAACTATCGATGGCAACCGCTTTGAACTCACGACGTCGAGGATCGCAAACCACCACATATGCATGCATACAATATTAATACCATAATAACGACATTAAGATGACTTACCCTGCTGCGGATAGTGTTTTGTCGTAATACACCGTAATAAATGTTGTGATATTAAAGATTGGAATAATTTCGCGATTCCAGAAAAGATCTTCGCATTTGTTAAAAGACCGATTATATTTTGAAAATGGGTTCTCAGCTGTGGGTCAGAGTCTCTTTGCAGGTGGCCATGCAGGGCCTATCCAATAGCGCCGTTCGACAAAAAATCCAATAGTATATTATTATCCTTCGTATAATTATCTGAAGACCCCTGAAAGTTTTAAGCCTTGTCATTACCATTGGCATAGCCAGTATTGATAATTAGGGGGCCCATATTCATATATTCATGTCAACAAACTGTAAAGACAATCGGTTTTAAAAGAAATTAATCGTACGTAACACAAATATATTAATATGACCCCCCAGGGCGGCATGTTTAGTTTAGTGTTTAGCGTGTTTAGTGCGAAAACCTTCCGCCACTCCCCCCCCCCCTTCCACTATTGGTCTTTACTATTGCAAATTTATACGTTTGCACAATAATAGAATTATGTCGTGTCTTCCATGACGCGGTAGCTTTGTTTTAGTAATTTGATCATGCTGATGTTAAAGTAAAAATTTAAAATACTGTATGCAAACCATATGCCTTAAAATACTTTATGTAAACTATATGTAAAATCCAAGCAGTTTAATGTCATAAAAGTCGATAATTACTTATTAATGATCGCACAAAGTACTTGTAACATTGTTTAACAATGCAAATATGGCACTATAGTGACCAATCAATGCCCGCTGCCTAATAGTACGAGGAATGAAGAGAGAAATCGACGATTCCATTAAGTTGGGTTGCAGAAATGTAAACATTTCCTTCATGCTTCCCTCGATCATGACTGAAACAGATATATAATGAAACAACTGAAATCTGAACAATATACCCTTCCCAGGATATCTCCAAAACTATTTTACTTTGGAAAAGATCACCGCAAAACTTCTTCTGAGTCGTGATATCTCCAAACTCTCTTTAGCGGGGCAATCAAAAACGTTTTCAATACGGTACGAAAACAGCGCATGCGTAACGCTTAATTAACCCGTCCACAAGGGGCCAGTATACCACCAGTGACCCGGCCCGTGTGTAACAAAGAATAATTAGTCACATAGCGGTTAATTTGGCCCATAGGTGAGTAATGTAGTTGTCATATACATTGACGACTGTTGTGGATGATGTATCGTCATAGATTAATGTTGATAGTGGAAGAATATCATAGATGAGTAATGTAGTTCTCATATATATTGCCGACTGTAGTGGATGATGTATCGTCAGGGATTGCTGATTTCTTTTACTTTAGTCGAGAATTAATGTGGATAATGGAAAAATCCCGGCCCGAGCGGTATGGCAATTCGGGGTGGAAGGATTTTTACGATTTTGCGAGTTTTAATTTTTAGTCAAGCGATCTGTGTAATGAAAAGTTTGAGCTTGTGCATTTTGCTTGTACGTGACCTTGTATATAAAAACTATTTGTTACTGAATTTTGTGTGCTAAAAAGAGTAGGAGCCTGATTAGTTGGAAGAACCAGGTCAACTGATTTTCGCGTGTGATAACATTAATTTTTTTATTCATTTCATTTGACCGTCAGCTTTACGTACGTTTCACTACTGATGCATATGCCGCCCGCAAAAATATGTTTTGCCAAAACCGAAGATATGCCTTGCACGGTAGTGCATTTGAATACAGATTTATTACAGAAAAATTTATATCGTGATCGGTGAAAATGCAGTTCACGAGAAAATTATTTACGACCAGGAAATGGAAACTTGGGCCGGGTGTATCAAGCCCGTTTAAAGTTAACTTGAATATTATGCACTGAATATGTTGTTGTAAACAGTATACATGTATCTTTGTATTAAGCTGGTATAATAAAAGGGCAGACTTACTTCTATTTTGATCTTTAACAACCTTGCTTCTGTGTTTTATTGATTTTTTTTATCAACAAAATGACTAACTTTTATATACTCAGTTGGCCATCCAGTACTGAAGTATTAAAATAATGTTTGGATGTGGTTGAGGGTGATATTGAAAATTATCAAGGCTGAGCTAGCGAGATTGTTATATAAAGCACTTATATAATCTTGTGCTAACAACATGATAAATATCCAACGGGAAACACTTGAATATTGACAGGATTACAAGCTTTTAAAAAAAATTGCATTACATTATTATTGCTTATGAACAGCCGTAAAACTCGACTCTCATGGAAATATGATTTTCCCAAGCTGTAGGATGAAGACGAATGAACCGAGCATAAATATGAGGAATCACCGTGTGATGGACAATCGTATTCTGATCGTTGTTACCTTGGAATTCCTGTAGGAAGTTAAACGTATTTAGGCATGTTGTCAGCTTCCATGCATGGTAATTTTAACGCTTTCTCTCTGACAATTCTTTAAATTTTTAAACCTATTTCAAAACGTTTAACTTACACTTGGTAAATGTTCAAAATCCCAAGCTTTTTGTCGATTGTGGAAACTTTGTTGCTTAAAATCCATCATACTTCAAAATACTTCGCTCAATTTAACAATGCAATTCAACAAGCAATTCAGTCCTTAATAATACAGTGACTGGAAGCTGAATCCAAAACTTTTCGTCCTTCTTTATCAGAAATAAACCCCTCTAAATATCGACCTTTTTGCGTGTAGTCTGACCTTTCAACTGGACCAGTATGTGAGTTGGAGACAAGACCCACTCGCGTTGCATACCGACGCCTTCACTCTGAATTGGGCGACATTTCGGGGCTATGCATTTCCCCCATTCGCACTGATTGGCGGGTGACTTTAACAGATTCTGATCAGAAGGTACAACATCTAGTGCTGTTAGCACAGTGTGGCCGGCCCAATCGTGGTATCTTCTCTTGTCAGAAGTTTGTGTAGACTTTCCCCCACCTGCTGCCAGTGCGGCAAAACCTATTGACACAAGGGGACAAGAACCATCCTCTTCATCAGTTGCGGCTACCTGGGTGGCTACTTTCAACAGTGACTGCCAAACGGAGGGAATTTTTAGCCTAGAGAAATTCTCTTGGGATACAAAACACAAGTGGCACTTACTTATCTGCATGAAATAAATGGCGTAGTTTGTGTGCTGAAAGAGTCACTGTTAATTCCCTTTTACCATCTGTAAATAACATTTTACATTTCTTTACTTCACAGTTCCATGAGGGAAAAGAATACAGAGGAGTAGGCTGCCATCGATATCCGCTTGTTTGCCAATTACTTAAAGGAATGTCATACAAATTGGTTGGCCTTCTTGCATTGACTGCTCCAGAAAGAGCATCAAGTTTTTCTGCTCGAGATTTACGGTGTAGATACTTTCACCCTGAGGGATTGGAATTTAAACTCCCTCAAGTAACTAAGAATGTAAAACAAGGCGAAAACCGGAAATGTTACTTTCATGCCAGTTTTCCTGTAAACGATTTATTATGTTTATGTAAATGTCTGTCAGAATATAAAAGTCGCACACTTGGATGGCGATCCACAGACCATTCCAAGCCTAACAAGTTACTATTGTCCTACATAAAGCAACACAGACCAGTTTCCTCTGCAACAAATGCACGGTGGACGAGGGAGCTTACAGTTTGCAGTTAGCAGGCATTGATACGTCCACGTACACAGGCCACACTATTCGGGAGGCTGTTGCCACAGAAGCAACAAGACAAGGTTTTTCCATTCTAGATATCTTACAGTTTGCGGATTTGTCACAACAAATCACCTTTATTCAGCTTATTATCAGCCTCAATTTAACCGTAATATGGGGAGGGCAGTTCTGTGGAAAAAATCATCGTATTCTGGTGATAGACTTTGAACATGCATTGTTAAGATGAGCCGAGTATTTTGAAGCATAATTGTAGATCATACAAGGGCTGCTTGCAGCCTGGGGCCGGTTGTTCAAAACTAGGTTCAGTGGCGTAGCCAGCACCGATAATTAGGGGGCCCATATTCATATATTCATGTTAACAGACTGTAAAGACAATGGATTTGAAAAGAAATTAATCCTGCGTATCACGAATATATGAATATGCCCCCCCCCAATTATCTTTCTGGCTACGCTACTGGTTTGGTTAACGAGTTAACCCGGCCCTAGTTAAGCTAACCGGCTTTTGAACAACCGGCCCTTGTAGTGTAATATTTAGTATAGAAGAAATACGAGGCGAGATTAATTTAATTTAATCCCTCCCTTTCCGTATCCCTAGTTATTGTATGTTATGCATGTTCCGGGTTACTTTGTTTCTTTTAGGCCAGCGTTGACAAGTCGTCTCATTTCAGGGACGCGGGCCCGGGCGGGGTCAGCGACATTGGTGGTGTAGCGTGTTAACTTTATGTTCTTGCTATAGTTGTTACTTTCAAATCACTGTTTTATGAAGAAGTGAGTAAAGTACATTGCTTTGTTAAATCTCACCTCGTATTTCTCGTATAATTAATAATATTATTACACTACAGGCTGCAAGCAGCTCTTGTATGATGTAAAATAAACAATATAGTTTTGTAAATGAGTTTCTAATCACGGAATATTGGTGAAGGTACCTTGGCTTTTGTTCCTTGTGCATAAGTCTGGAAATTTTTCCCACCTTGGCTGGACGAAACGGTGTAACTCTTCACCAACTGATGTGTGTAAAGGCGTCCTTGAGTACTAATTCCTGTAACAAACGTGTTTCGTTGAAAATCAACCTGCAGCCACTGATGAAGATCAAGGTGCAATGATGACCATCCTCCTCCTTGTCCATTTTGAGGTGTGAAATTTAATCTTCCATTAGCAGCCCCGTGGGCGGCATCCCATTCGCTTGATGCCGTGACTTGGTCATCTTGGATAGCACCACTTTCCATCCCAAGAGCTTTTACAATATCTATAATTACGATAACGCGTTGCATTTTTTCACTGTTTGCAAATATCACCTCGTTACATGGTTAATAGCAACTAATAATAAATACGCGCCTTAATATTAAACGAATGAAGGTTGAATGAGGTTGAGCATGATATCAAAAATATCAATTAAGGCCAATTAAGGTTGTGTTATCCACCAAAGCCGAAGGCTGAGAGCTTTGGCGGGCTTTCACTATAGCTGGAACTTCAGCGTGCAATAATTAACAATTTAAAAACGAGTCACGTGCCTTTATTGTGTAGATTGGCATAATACGAAAGAAGTTTGTAAAATACAAGGTGTATAACCGAGTTTCCTTACGTGCAGGCTTCTCGCATAGTAGTAGCAACCGCTAAGTTGCATGTTATATTGAATATTGCAAGGGAATTTTACATCATTCTGGAGTGCGATACGTTCGTAGCCACAGGGCAAATTACAACCCCAAGCCCGTCTTTTTCCATGTACTTACTATTTTCACAATGTTTTCCTTTGTAACATCCAGAACATTGACACGAAACCAAAAGCTCTTTTGCATCCCAAATCAAGGACCCGTTATTTAGACATTCATTTACTTCATTTCTGCAGCTAGCCTGAAGATTTGAAATAAAATCCCATTTTTTTAATTATTTTATGAAAAAAATTACCATTATTATTAGAATAGAAGTGTGGGAATAGTTTCGTCATTACAATACCACCAATAAAGCTATTCGTTGGTGTTTTTAAAAATGTTGGCTAATGTTGGTATATTTCAATTGTAAACTGCATAATTATAGCTAGTCTACGCACAGACGGAATATGGCGGAAATACCGTCTATATAACAGCGCCAAATTCCGTGTTCTATAATTATTTATCCCCCAAAATCTGGGGGACGCTGTGTGATTGGCTACATATTTAATTACGAAGCCTGATTGGCTACTCAAGATCAACAAAGCTTTCATTGGTTTAGATTGGAATAATAAAAATATTTTTCGTGGGAGTCAACAACAAATGGCAAGCTGTTAAGCTCAAACACAAAGTCTTCTTTGCTCCGTCCTTAAACTAGGTATTTGTCCTCGCTCTCCTGATAATCTCTTTACAAAGGATACACTCGTGAGTACTCGACATTGATCAAGATCAAAAAGACGATAAGGATTTTGTTGCAGACTCAAAGGAAGATCGACGAACATGTGAATTGTGAAATTTGATCATAAATGTTTCGTGCATAAAATGCGAAAATTAATTACTAATTTCAATATACGTCACATTTTGCATAAATTACAGTACACGAAATTTGGCTCTGATACGCAGACCCTCTTTTTCCCCGCCTTTCTATTTCGGGCATGGGTCTGCAGCGCAGGCTAAATTATAGCTAATACTTCAATTTATCACCTTAAATCTGAATTATATTCAAAAATTTACTTTGGAAAGTTATAACCTATCTATAGCATTATTGATTATTGATTCATAATCGATTGGGATAAAACCAACGATAAGGTAACAGCCCATCAAACAAAAGATTCTCGCAAAAACGATATCAAAGCATTCTTACAAAGTGGCTTCTGTCGACATTGGACTTGTAAAACGTCCAAACTTGTTCTATCTTTGAAACTTCATGTTTCTCAAACTCATGTTCAGTTGTGTTGGTTAGTTGACAGTTGATCTTCTTTTCATCCACTTTTTTCTTGTAATTATACGCGACACAAAAACGGTTTACAGCGCACTGAAGTTCACAAAATATGCTCATCTCTTCTGTAAATTGACCAATGATACTCTTCTTCAAGCTTGAAACCCCTAAATATATTCTCCATTTTAGTATTTGTCAATTTTAGCCGATTCCAAGTTGCCGGCCAGGACAATGGTTAGCCATGCAAACATCATATTATCACAATATTAGTGTATTTCCCTAGGCAAAGATAACCTATTCATTGCCGTATTCCATTGTTTTAATATTATACTGTATCAATTGCAGGAACCACTGAGTATTTTCATAAAATACAAAACAATAGTAACTCCGAATAAAGTAAGCATTTTCATTGAACGTTTCGACTTTATTTAGTCATCATCAGGAAGGATTAATTTACATGTGCATGCGTTGTATATATACCATATGTAATTTGATATTGTTCAAGAGAAAACCGATAGTTCTTTGGATGCCTTTGTGCCATGGTTAAGCTCCGGTTTTTGTCGACGGATGCATGGCGACTGCTTCTTTGACCAGTAGATTTGACCAATTTAAAGAAGCACTCGCCATCCACCGAAAAAAACCGGAGCTTAATCATGGCACAAAGGCATCCAAAGAACTATCGGTTTTCTCTTGAACAATATTAAATTACATATAGTATATACAACGCATGCACATGCATGTACATTAATCATTCCTGATACGATGATGACTAAATAAAGTCGAAATGTTCAATGAAAATGCTTAACTTATTCGGAGTTACTATTGCTGTATACTGTATTGCTACGTATAATCATATACTAAACCATTACTAATTAACTGTATTTACCTATTTATTGACGAGTTTGTTAGTGCAAATATGATAGTTGCTTGTGAAAATAGAATCCTTCCAGACTTTTATCCATTATTTTGTACAGTATTTTCGTTTTATGTTTTCAGTACTTTTCTGGCTTCTTTTTGTCCCCAGGGCTGTATTTTTTGTTTAGTGTATACCATGTTTAGTGCAAAAAACTTTCTCCGCAATTTCATTTATTTTGGCGAATTTAGGAATATGCCAACCCCCCCTAATTATCGAGCTCGATACGCTATTGGTCATTACTATAGCAAATTTATACGTTTGCACAATAATAGGACATAATTATATTGTGTCTTTCATGACGCAGTACCATCCAATCATGCATATAAGCCCTTGATTGTCTGTGTTTTAAATTAGTAATTTTATCATGCTAATAAGAAAAGTAAAAATTTAAAATACCGCTCTATGTAAACTATATATCTTCTATTACTATATGCAAACTATATGAAAATTTTACCGATTTCGACCTATCAGCATTCAGTCATTTTACTACGCTAATAATAAAATCATTACTATTCTTTTTTTTAAGCCAAACAGAAGTATACCATTCTCCATACTTTCAAATTGGAAAACTCAGCAAACTGTTAAACTTACTTAATGCATTATTTAATAAAGACTATAAACAATGTCTCGGTTACAAACTAAAATTTTGACCGCTGAGCATTTCGTTAACTTGCACGTAAAATAGTGACAACACTTAGATAAAGAAACCGGATGTTTATATATACGACCTTCAAATCTTTATTATTGCAGCTATCATAATACTTCACCTTCTATAAGGAGAGATATGGATGAAAACGTAATATTTATGGCAAAATATAACACATATTCCTTGAAGTAACTGATTAAGATGGAATAACTGCCCTGACAATAATTATTGTAAAAACTCATTTTAATACGTTTTTTTAACCTCTGTGTACGAATATGTTGCCTACCACAATTCCGGAATCACACGCTAGCGACAACAAAAACAGAGTGACATTTTGTCTCCAACTCCTTCAAATTCATTCATTAATTTACTTGGAAATGGCTTAAAAAATTGAGAGCAATAACACCGTGAAATTTAATCTTGTTCGGTAACATATAAGCCCCGTTTACACTACACTCGATTTATTGGCACGGCACGGCTAAAATGGGTACCCGTGCCTATTTCATTTGTGCTCGGCCTTTGTTTTGGTAGCCTGAACACTAATAAAATTGGGTACGGGTACCAATTTTAGCCGTGCTGTGCCGATAAATTGAGTGTAGTGTAAACGGGGCTATAATTATACTCTGATCCATGATTGCGCACTAAATATAGCTACGCATGAATACTTTTAATAATCATACGTGTCATAGTAAACGCTAGTGACTGAAGGTGCTGTTACACAATGCAATTTTCCTTGCAACTTGCAATGCAATTCTACTCCTAAGGCATCTAAAGTTGACAAATACATTTCTTACGATCTCCTAAATTTTTCCTATCATTTTGAATACTCTTCACAAATTAATATCTCTCAAATACTTAATTGCATCATGTTCGAAGGAAAATTGTGCAGTGTTAAGGCCCGTTTACACTTGCGATTTTTGCTACAATTTCACGTGCGATTTTCCTCTTTAGATAGATGTGAACGAGTAATTATAGCCTGTTTGCGAATGCTCTGATGTGTGCAAGTTGCTATTTGAACATCCGTAACTGATTCACTCGTTCACATCTATCAAAAGAAGAAAACCGCACATAAAATAGCAGCAAAAATCACAATTGTAAACGGGCCTTTAACAGCACCATTTCATAATAATTCATGGCAGACAAGCAGAATTTTGTGTTAAACCGGCACTAGTGTGTTGGAGAATACAAAATCTAAACAAATGTTCAGTTTTCTCTGTGTCTTTGCAAGCAGAAACATGATGACAATTGCACATCCTCGATCGTGTAATAAAAGCATACCGTAGCCGACATATCCTAAAATATAACAAGTACAAACATAACATGATCATAGATAATATCTTAATTCGCTTTCGTGTCACATGCATTAACTTCGCTGTTCTTACTGTGTAATATCATTTTGTTGTAAGTATAGTTCTCAGTTCAAAATGGTTCTCAACTTTTCATTCGTTATGCCCGTTATTACTCGTTATTCGTTATACTCGTTATTCGATCGTCAGAATTGGACACAACGTAATTAAAAGTTCACCACGGGCAATATATTATATTTGCTCACCGCACTTTAGCAATTGAAATACGAAAATAGCATTAAAAACAAGGCGACTTACCCTGCCACAAAATGTTATTCTGTTGCGTGGTAATAATGCCAGTCAATTGCAATAATATTGAACACTGGAATATTATCTTGAGTCCACAAACCATCTTCATGTTATTTCATTCCGAACTTGTGTCGTTTCAGTCGGCTTTTCAAATGACATGCATGGAAAATATGCTTTCTTTTAATTACTTTTAATTATTAATTCAGATATTGATTTCCATGGATGGCCAATAAGGCAGTGTCGTAGACAATGGCCCTATACAGGCTGTCCCAAAAAACCAAAACCATTCAGATCACCTAATGTTAAAATTTGAATGACTCGTTCGCGAATTTTTGCCCGTTGACATTAACGCGACCTATAAAATGCTAAATAAGCCTTCAAAAATTAAACATTAATTTTGCCAAAGAATTAAGGAGATGTCGAAGGTCATTGTGCTTGAGTATTAAATTTAAATATTGTTATTCATATTTGTAAAGCGTATAATTTATATTACTACAGGGTGTCCCAAAAAAACCGAAAACTATTGAAATCACCCATAACAATGCAATTGTTAGAGTTTGAATGCCTAAGCACTCTGTTGGGACCCACAGGTGTATAAATGTATACCATACTCATTTTTATGCATGCATATGATGCAGTAAAATTTGCTTGTTCGCAAAAATGATATTTATTAACAATATTTACAATTTACAAATATGGATAACATTATTTAGATGTGCATCTCAAGGACCATGACCTTCGACATGTCCCCTTT